TTTGCACTCTGGCGGCGAAGGAACGATGCCGCATTCGCCTGGTGACGCTGCGAACGAACGTGCACAGGCAGCGACAGGCCTACATAGTATCCACAAGCCTTGCAAAATAAGCAGTCCGTCCATCGGAGCATAGACAACAACTCCCGACTGGTCAGTCGGGCCAGGCTTCTAGTTGGAAGGCGGTCCGGGAATCTTGAAAAATGAAATCCCTTGTAAACTGTTGTAGTTCGTGCCAGACACCTACACTGCTTCATGTCAGGCTCTCACTCTCAAGACAAGGGAAGGGAGGGAGAGAGGGAGGAAGAGAGGGAGGGAAGGAGGGAGGGAAGGAGGGAGGGAAGGCGTCGCTCGCGACACGTAGAAGCCGAACCTGCCGGATGGCCCGGTAGGCTGGCGACAGTTAAACAGGCAAGGCCGCGTGTCAACGCGGGCAAAAGGCACACGACAGACCCCGCACACATTCAGATTCATGGTCGTAGTGGAGAAGCATGGGCGTCCACAGAAACGTCGAACACGGACAAAGCGTACGCTTGATGTTCGCATTCACTGAAGCGAAATGATAGAAATGCGGCCGGGAAAAAAAAAATCGTGACTCAGCTTCAGTGGCTTCATCATGAACCCGCCTAAAACTGCATGACTCGGCTTTTGTATTTGTTGCGGGTGCTGGAGTGCGTCTTATTGGATCATCCTTTCTTGCATGGGTGTGGCACAACGAACAACTTTCACCTTGCGGAGCTTGCAAAAAAATCTTCCTGAAGAAAAAATTGAATAAAAATTAACATCTTCTGAATTATTAATGGTATTCATTTATTTTCCTGAACTTGCAATAATATCGATATTAATCGATAATTTGTTCTTTTTGAACATTGGGAAAGATAAATAATTATAATTTGATTCATTTTTCAAATTTGATATTTTGTTTGTTTAAAATTTTTTTCGATTTAATCTTTATATTTACTTAAATCCTTTTCAACGATAAATATATCAAAACCAATTAATGCTAAATTGGTTTGAGATTTCAATTAATATTCAAATAAATGCCCATTGAATATATTCTAAAATTTATTTTAATATAGTCAATAATTTCATAAAAGAAAAATAAAATAATGCTGGAAATGCATAATTAAAATCACGTTTAAATTTGAAATTTGACAAAAATTTCATTTTAATTCATTAAACAAGTATGATGAATGATATAATTAAATCATAAAATAACGAGAAAATATATAATTATAATTTGAAAAAATTTGATATTCTGATCAATTATCAGCAACTATATTAAAAAAAAAAAAATGTCAAGATAAAAAACTTGAAAAATTGATAAGAAATAACAAAAATAAATCTGATAATATTATTCTTGTTTTATCAATTTTAATTTTTTTTGTGATTTGATTTCTGATTAATTATTATGACGTCCGCATTTTGCATTATCGTTTATAAGTATGCCGACATAGAAATTATAATTTCTGGAAAAGCAAATTTTTGAAATCCCTGAAAACAAATTTGGCCGTTTTTTTTCAGGCACAAATATTAGATTTTCAATTCAATAAAAAGCCTATATTTGATTCAAAATATACGAATCAAAATAATATCTTATAAAAAAAATATTCGATTTTGTTAAACTTACAATTAAAGTAAAGAGAAATAGAGAGATAGATAGATAGAAGATAGATATCGAAGTTTCGTGTACAAGCACTACCTCATATCACTTCCTATAAAAATCTTTTTTATCGATAATGCATATGAATAGATGAGATTTAAAACTTCAAAATAGTTATAATTCATAATCTATAACTAGAATATACGATATTAGAAAATAGCATCTATTTATTAAATTTTCTGCCCGAAGCCTTGAACTACCTAGATTCCAAAATTTCTAAAAATTTATAAGACTGGGCCTAGCCCGAGACCACCAAAGAAGTCCCCGCCTCCTTGAGGCTATAGCCCGAACTTCTATATTTTCGCCGTAATTTATAAATTCTTCTTTATTATGAAAGCAAGTTGAAATAACTTCATAATATATTTTCAAATCTATAAAAAAGAATTGAAATAAATTTATGAATTTCATTAATAAAAAAAATATATAAATACTCAAATATTCTTAAGCTTTCAAAAATATTTAGATTTTCTTAGTAAAATTTCGATTTCAAATTATAAATATTTAGAAAAGAAAGTTATATTTTGCATCATAATAAATATATAAAATAATTTAATAAATATCAATTATTTACTTTATAATTCATAATTTAATTTAAAACAATATAAACAATTAAATATCTGTAAGATTTCTATATAGAAAATCTAGAAATATTTTATATTCAAAAAATCAATATTAATTAATTCTTAATAAATTTCAAGAAAAAGAATCGAAAAAAAATTAAATTCATATATATATATAAAATATAATATCGAAAAAATAAAAGAATTAAAAAATCAATTTAAAAAATCATTATAATTCAATAATTTCAAATAACGATATCTCGAAAAATATTTATCTACTAATATTCAATCTAAAAAACAAAAATATTTTATTTCTCAGATCTTTAAATAGAAAATATAATTAATATTTCAAATATTAAATAAAACCAAATAAATCAATCGAACTAAATTTTAAGAATTATCAATCCAAATAAAAAAGAAGAGCGAATAAATCGAAGGCAGAAATAAATAGAGAAAAAGATTCAGAGAGAAATGAATTAAAATAGAGAGAAATAGATAGAAATAAATAAAGAGACAAAGATTTATAGACAGAAGATATATAGACAGAGTTAAATAAATAGAAAAGGCATGAAGAGAGACACAGAGACAGACTCATAAAGATACACAAAGGGATGCACAGAGAGATACGCAAATAATGCAGATAGACGCACAAACAAATATATAGACAGACTCCCAGATTCACGCACAGAGAGATACCAGAGAGACGGACGCACAGACAGACAAACACAAACACACACCCAACAAAGACACGCGCACACACAGAGACACAGACAGAGACACTTGCTCATAATCTACTAGACTTTTTATTATCACGAATATATTTCTAAAATCTTTGAAATTTTACGTCCACGAATATACGTACCAAAAATCCCAGAAATTTCTTGATTACCGCGAGTATGATCACCCAAACGACCAAAACTCCTGAATTTTTTAATGACGTGAGATTTTATTAAATTACCAAAATTTCTAGAAATACAACGTGCTTTTATATATAGAATATTCCAAGCAAATTTCACGACAATGTATCGTAAATAGAGAACAATTATATATATATATATATATTTACACAAGAAAATAGAAAGCATTATCTTAACACTTAGAATATTGTGATTGTTAGCCGCATGGTTTTTCGATACATCAGCAATCTGAACCAGAAGATTGTTTTCAAGACTCCTGGATATCCAAGTTTTTTTCTATTGTTTGCAGAGATGTCAAGACCTCAGGACATCTGTTAACTCGGGATATAGACCTTGCTTGCGCTGTAGGCCATGCTTGCGGTTGCAGGGCATGCCTTTAGGGCATGGTGCCGCCGAGCTTGCAAGCTTCAAAGTCTTCACTTTTCCGAAAAAACAACAATCCTCGCGCAAGGGTGGTTGGCTTCTCTGCGTGGTTGTCAGCTTGGGACCTCTGGCTGCAAGCGTCCGTGTTCCACATCGTCGCCCCGCCTCCAAACCGCACCTCCACAACCGAAAAGCTTGAAACACCACCAAATCAAGCAACACGTATTCAAGCCTTATGCATTTTGTGAAACCAGCTTGCAGCCTGAGTACTGGACGCTGGTTGGCAAGCAGTTCGCATCAATTGGCTGTCAAGACTTGCCAGGCTACAAGGTTCAAGGGTTGTTTGTCGCAGAATATGCCTGCTCAACTCACAACACCACGTTCGAACTGATCGTAATAACCTACACTTGTGCGAAGTGTTCTTTTTACAAAGCACGGCGTTTGCTGCTTTGGGATTGCTTCGGGATTTCGGCAGCTTGCCTTTGCGTGGGCGGCATGCGGCGCACAATGCTGGAAGTCACTGTATCAGCATCCGAGAAGATTACGCTGAAGAAGTATGCTGTGAACACGTATTCACTGTTATACATATATATATATATTATATATATATATATATATCGCTCTCTCTCTCTGCAAAATGTTGCGTCTCCGGAACTGGCATGGAGCGATGCGTTCGGTTGCTGCGAAAAAGTGTGCGAGCTGTCTGCCAAACGTGCAACGCATCCAGCAGGCATGGCGCTGCTCGAACTTGTAGGGTTTTTTTGGGCTCCACATTCGAATGAAAACCTGCTTTGGGGGCTTTAAACACTGACGCCTTCCAGGCCTGAAGCCCTTGGTCAAGCCCATTGAACCCTGCAGACTCTGTACGTATGCTTCCTCACTGAAGTTGAAATTGGTCACGCGGCCGCCTGCGAAGCCATGGATGGCATCATTCAGCGTGGGCTGTTGCATGTGCTTGCTTCGAGCTGTTGTCGGAACAGGCGTGCTCATTCCCATTTCCGAAATCAACCTAAACACTTGAAGCCTTCATCAGTAAACTCGGAATGAACATAGCGCCAAAACCCAATGCCATGGACACATGTCACGCATGGCTCAACCGCAGCCGGCCCTGCCTGTTCTGCGGCTTCGGCATGGGCTTCCTTCAGAAAGGCGCCGAGGTAGAGAGGCCAAGGGCGAGCAAGCACTCTTCAGGATTCATTCAGATGCGGTTGTCCGGTTTTCATTGTTGGATTTCCTTCTCATCGTTTTGAAACTTTTTGCTTTGTTTGCTGGTGATTCTTGGCCTGCGTGCGATTATGTATTCTTGTCTGTTGGCACCTGTTGCGCATTTCTTAAACCTCTGTCTTTGCTCCACTTCGTTTGGTTTTTCTTCTTTGCTCGGTTGCGGCACACGCTCTCAACACTCAAACATTCCCATAGCGCGTGAGTTTACAGCAGTGTTGAGGGGACGGCCGCGGGACAGCAGCACAACCAGAGAGTATGGAAATGCTGAAGGCCATTTCGCGCAAGTGCGACCTAAATGCAACCTTCGCACAAATACAGCATGCAGCTATAATAAACGAAATACAATCTAAAACCAGGCACAAAACTACGTTGACGAAAGCTGATGACCGGTAGCCAGACGGCGCCTGTCTCTTCCTGGGGTCATGTTAGGGAAACTCCCCTAGCTGGTCACAGTAAGCAACGCATATGATGGTCACAGCCACTGCCAGGCTAAATGCCCAACATACTTCCCACCCCCTTATGAAGCAACGTCACTGAAACAGCGGAGACTGTTTTTCATAGTCTTTTCCTTGATTCCGTGCCTCCGCCCCGCACAAACAAAAACCTAATCCTTAACCACCTGCCCCCCTTAACATGTCAACGTTGCTTCATGATCAGAATAAGGCTTTGGGGTGTAAAGTAAAGCAGGAACCGGTAGGAAGAGTTTTTTCGAATTAGTCAAGCCTCTACAAACAAAAGCCCAAGCATTTCCTGACCCTGGCCTGGTCTCTGGTGCCTCAGGCCATGGAGGGGGATCCGCAAGCCGAGCTTTCAGAGCCCTGCGAGGAATTCCGGAAATCATCGAAATCGTTCGACTTTGTGAGTTTGGGCTTGGGTTGGAGTCCAGGGCTTGTCGAGCTTCGGCTTTGGTGTTTGAATGAAGCTTCAGAGCGTTGGGGTTCTTGCGCTGAGGTCACAGAAGCCTCAAAGCCTGAGTTGAAACCTCCGGACACCCAGAGCCACGGCTTGATGAAGCCCCCAAATCTGAAGTCCGAAGCCCTCATTCAGAACCATCGAAAAGACAAAAGCTGGAAAACACAAAAAAACTCTGCCACTCGAGGGTTCCACCTCTTGGATCCTGTGATGGGCATGAGGCGCCCGCACCCCAAGCCGAGCTTCGACAAAACACAAATCTCTGGCTCTCTGTGCTCTGCTAACCCCGCCTCGAAACTCTAGGTCCCTTTGGGGTGCTTTTAAAAAAAAGGTGCCGTACTATACTGGGGACCAAAAAAAGGACCCTAATTTAGAGAACTACCCACATTCCTAAATCCAGAACCTGCCTCATCTGGCCGCGAATGTTGACCTCGAGGCCGTTGAGCCTGGTCGGCAGCGGTGCTTGGCAAGGGTGGTTTGCGATTTCAACTCAGGATTTGATATGTGCTGTGTTTGGTTGTCTTGTTCAGGCCGCCACATGGTTTGCGTTTTCCCGTTTCAAGCTGGATCTTTGGAATACGACTCGACTTGGCTCTGGCAGCCATTTGCAGCTGCGAAAGACAAGGAATGTGGTGTTGTGGCAATGCCAAAATGCAGGAGTACACTGCGCAGTATACAAGCAAGAGCAAACAGAAAACCCACCACAAGGAACTGTCTCCATTTGTGTACAAAGTACACACACAACGAAACAATACTACATTTGAACAAACACCCCCACAAGAAAGGCACGAATAATCATACAAGTGTAGAAATACAACATGGGCATCACCAGAGCGAAAGCTTTACGGTAGAGCGTACAGTTCTGAATGATCGACGTATACTTTATACTGCCACCGCGTGTCTTGAACTTCCATGTCATTCCACTGACCTAATATTCCATTGAAAGTGCCAGGGTATAGAGATTACTGCGGGCTTTCTCACCAATACAATCGAGGAAGCCTCTCCTATGGCATATTCTTCGAAACCGTTTTGGTCCCTCAAGTTCCAGACACCTAGATCTAACGTAAACCCCCAACTGCAAGCAAAATCATTCTGCCTCCCCATGACATCCTCAGCCACATCGGCATCCACCTGGGCAGGTTGACGACATCTTTGAAGTTTAGAGAGCCTGTCTCACTCCAAAAGGGCCAATCTTCATGTAGACCCCTTTCTCGTTAACACCCTCCCAATTATGTAGGGAGTATGTAGGGATCCGAATACTGGGTTCTGCCGTGCTCGAATGTCGAAGAGGCACAGTACCTCATCCCACCTTCTTGGTCCAGCAACTCCTGAAAGCTCCTCTTTGTGATGCAACTGTACGTGTGCACGGCCGGAGCATGGAAGCACCAGGCGATAGAAGGGCTCCATAAAATTAGTACGATTGTTTGCAAAGGATGCTACTTGTTTTCGGGTTCATTAGGGTTCCTTCTTTTGTTCCTAAAGCTCCCATTATGTTCAGTTTACAGCCTTCGTCAGTCAAACCCTCACTTGGGTGCTGACGACACGGAGGATCACACCTGCACCACGCAGCATTCTAAAGAGCTCAAGACCAGGCTAAGGCTTCCGGAAGAACGTGAATCCTGAACTCTAAACTTGAAGATGTCGGGCTTTCCTGAATTCTGTAGGTTGTCCGGGATAAGCAGTTGATGGATAGGGATAGCTTAGGGAAGAAGGGTTTTCAAGCCATTCCGCACCCTCATTCCCTTTCCGCAGTACAACCTAACGAGCCTGCACTTAGCATGGGTACGTGTTTTGGAATGAACCTGCTACCGAGGTCAAGGAATCGGATCTGAATACATTTACTGTTGAGGGATCAAGAGGAGTAATCTTGGACGCTCAGCAAGGTTCTTCTGCGGAGGGGGCATTACGGCATTACCTAGGAAGTCGCCGCAGGGGGATGATGAAGGGGTTGTCTTGCTGTGGGACATCAGCAAAGTGGTTCATTGGAGGCCGGAGAACATCCAACATCTACTTTGGTTCCTGGTAGCGCAAACTTTCGCCTATGTGGCAAACCTTTGTTCCGAAGTCTGCAAGAGCCACAGATGAACGCTGGTAAGCCAAGCACTATAATCTCAAGGAAAGTTTATCTTAACGTCTCTGCCTACAGAGGTGCGTCCCGGTCGGTGGGAGAGCAGTTTAACCGAGTGCCTCGGCTTGCAGAAAAGGCTTTAAGCTCATGAAAGCCTAGCAGCAATGCTCCCAGACAAGCATCAGCGAACGCAATGGTAAATGCAGAGCAAGAGTGCTAACAGTGGTAGTTGCAGCAGCAGGCACTAGAAGTAGGATTTGTGGGAGGGGCGAAGTAGCAGTAGTGGTGGTGGTAGTAGGAATTGTAGGAGGCGGAGGAGGAGGAGGAGGAGTAGTAGCAGCAGCAGCAGGAGGCGTCGAAGTAGCAACAGCAGCAGGAGGAGGAGTAGTAGTAGTAGTAGTAGTCATAGTAGTCCGAAACAGTCACCAACTCACCATGCTAATAACACTTAATGACCGCGGCAATAGCAGCAGCAAGCAATGATGCTAGACTCAAAACGGAAGGGCTTAGGGTTGCAAGGTTCCTATCCTGGAAGCGTCGAGAGGATGAACAAGGAAATTCAAAACCGAAGGTAAGATCTCAATTGCTAGAGTTCTGGGTGCTGCGGGGCTTGATCGCTAAATCTCCTTCTCCCTCCAACTTGCGCATGGGTCCTCCCGAACTCGTCCAGGCGATGCAATGGAAGGAGTTTATGGTCTATGTAGGGTACCTACAAGCTCGAATAGGGTGTGCCCCAACTCTGATTCCACAGGTGGGCAGGCAGCACCCAGACTGGGCATCGCCTGGGGCACAGATTACTGTTATCTGCGTTTTCGCCGCTGCAGTGTTCAAGACTTCCAGTTCTCCAGGGCAACAGAGCTAATGCTCCAGGATGTCATTGCGATGCCAGAACAAGTGGGTCCGTAACACAATGTGGGTCCGTAACAACTATACAAGGGCTTAATATAAGGGTTGTCACAAGGGTTCGTTCACAGGGGTAGATTCGCCGCCGTCCACTTCTCTTATTTCCTTGGACGTATATTCCGCAAGCCCAGAAACCCCAAAAAGCCTTCCGCCACAAACTACCTGCTCATATAAGGGTCGGAGTTTACGAATAGTATACCCTTTTAGGCTTTGAAAGAAGCAGTTCTTGTCAAGGGGCACTGCACCCCGCTCAATGCCCGCCTGAAGCTGATGGCGTTTAGGGTCTAGGGTTTCGGGGCTTACGAATTCTCTTCGCTGAAGGCTGTAAGGGTTCCGTACGGATTGTTGGTTCTGCGTGTTACTGTTAAAGAGATATGAGGGGATATAGTTACTCAGGGGGGGCTGACTGCTCTAAGCCTCCAAAAAGAACCCATTTGTTTATATGCCAGGGTCATCTATACCCGAAAAGGGTCCACTCACCGAACCCGAAGTTCTTGTCAAATGCTTATGAGCCATTAGGGGTTCTTGGGTCTGTGTTTATACCTCAAGGCCTTAATAATAATTAGTATGAGGCTCCGCAGAAAAAGTATAGCCAGTAGCCCTAAAAAACTAGTCTTGCTAATCATCTAGGTCCCAATCAATGGCATGTTCTCAGATTGAAGCCTTTGAGTACTACTGTTGATGGACAAATTCCTGCATTACCCGTTATAAGGAATATACCATAATTCCCATAGTTTAAGGTCCTTAAGGTCATGCAGGATTTTGTCCATCAACAGTATCTGGTGTCTGGCTTTAAGGCTGGTCAGATGTGGGGTTCTGATCACAATCTGAGAGTTTGCTGGGCTTAGGTGACAAAGCAGTGAGAAGCTCCCTGTCTGCTTAACGGGTCGGGGGACGTGGGGCTAGCAGTACGGCAGCCATAGTTGGAAAAAAAAGGCCTCAACTAAGGTACTTGTAGCCCGACTTACCAAATCCCATGACCCTTTAAGCGCAACCCTGAAAATCGCCACGCGCATGGCGAAGCCTGTGGTGTTTTCTGACTGACGAAGCAGGATCGCCGTTCATTTCAACAGCCAAGAACACACCGGGTGAGTTGGTACCAACACCATAAAAAACGATAGCTTCTTGCCAGAACACTCCTGAGCTCAGCGATGGTGGCAGCAACAGCATGCGGATGGGTGGTGGTTGTCACTACTATCACTACTACATTGATATTTGCAGTAGCGGCAAAGGTCGTGAGTGGTAGTAGAGTTAGCAGCAAGAAGGACTCCTAGCAGCAGCGGCAGCACAAGAGTAGCAAGAGAGCGCTCGAAAAAGTAGCCAATCCCGCCGACATCAGGTCTTAGGTGAGCTGCATGTGGGTTTAGGGTTCAGGATTCCCTAAACTTTAAACTTACATCTCGGCCTCTGCCAAAAGCTTGTACACCGCTGAGGCGTTCCAGTCGAAGGGAACCTCGCAGGATACAACGAGTCGAAGGCTTGGCTTCCATGGCTTCCAGTTCGCCAAAGTTGAGGGTTTAAGTGAGCTACCAACCCCCAAACTCTAAACCAGTTGGCTTTGGAGCTGCCTTCGTCAAACTTTGGCGCGAAAGTGAGTTGGCTTCTTGTCGTTGGGTGAGATATCCCGTGTCCAACCAAGATACTGACCAAAGGCCTGATAGACACATGCTTCTGCTGAGGATTTCGCTTGAGTTTTGCTCGTTGCCTTTGATCGGAATCTACTGTGCATCTAACATGTGCAAGTATCTCTTGACGAAGACATCCGTGACCAAGACACCTTTGCACCAGCAAGAACTTGACTCTACGGTCCTTTGGCGAAATTCTTGCTGGTCATGTAGGAGCCTTGATGATTGAGAACAGGTTGTGGTGTTGGTCTATTGTGGTATGACCATGCTTTAGGGACTATCACGGAATACCGTTCCAACCCCATAGTAAGAGGAACTGGCCACCTCTTACCAACCCGGACACCGTCTTTCCTGCAAACCACAGCAAACCAGAAGGCCGGTGTTCTATATTCTCTGTTAAGGTGGGGGCCTAATTTATTACCAATGCGATTTTGGGGGCTCCTTGTTATAATTACAGTATAATGGGACCCAAAACCTTATTCTAATTATTCAGGTCCCTATATTGTAATCTATAAGGTTGGTTTGTTCCACATACTCCTTACAGGGTTCTATCAACTCATCAAAGTTCCCTGCGAAAATCCTCGCAAGAAAAGAGGACACTAGCTATGCCCCAAATTAGCTAATATGCTAGTGAACAACAAGACATGTAGAAATCACACTGCTAGTTGAATGCAGCACTGGCCAGGCCTCGCCAACATAGACATCCTGAGACGGAACAGATCTGTAAAAGAGAGCTTTTCCTTCGGGATGCCTCTAAGAGGGTTAGGGTTTCTATAAGTATACAGTATACGGTATTTAGTATATAGTACGATAGACCAGGGAATGGTCTGGGTTGTAGAGCCTTGCCTATTGACGAGAGAGCTCGTCTCGCCAGCGAAATGCTCAGAGAGACCAGGGGGCCCATACTGCGTAAGGGCTTCAAAAAATAGAGAGATCGGTCCTGACGCCACGTATGTTCATGTCATACAACCTTGCTCAAATTACTTGGGCCTCGCTACTACAGGGCGTTTTGATCTTCATGAGCATGCAGAGTTGCAACCACCAGAAGCGGTGAAAGGGGCAAGCGAAGATCTGGCATATCGCCCAGTCCCGGCACTTTGCTGCATGCTTGGACCTCCTTCGGCCCATCCTCTCGTCATCGCAGAACTCTGCGCGCGCTACATGGCTACATGGCTTCATCGTTTGTATCAGGGCCCCCATGCTGACATTTGCGCCCTGTCAGGTCGGTCTCACCCTGACCTAGACTTGTAGAGACCCTTGAAGCTAAACGACAGCAACTCAATCTTCACCCTTCCAACCCGCAATAGTCCCGACAGCCACGGAACACCTCCAGCCGACATTGGTAACAGGCCTTCTTCGGGTGAGAAGCTTATCACTGGAATTGCCGCGACCACAGTGGAATCGCGTTCTGAATGCTAAACTCGTCATGTTGTGGAAGCTTCTGGCCTAACGCATTGAGATTGAACCCTGCATTGGCAAGCAAAAACCAAGAAGGGGCCCAAGACGAGCGTCTGTGCAGTGTTGATTGAACATCCTGGCGTGCTTTGCCACCTTTGCTCGCACTGGCCTGAGCCCGGGGGCGTTCTTCGTAGAGGACCCTCGGAAACTAGCATCAAATCAGCTGCTGGTTCTCTATCGCCGGCAAAGTGGCCCCATTCATTAGCAGTCCTGCGTACTTAGCAGTCCTGCGTACTTGCCTGACACTATGTTGCGTTGACCAGTGCTTTGCATGGACAGCTTCCGACCGGACTCTCAAGGTCCTGAACTGTTGAGCCTTCAAGAGTAGCAGCATAGCCCCCCTCTACGGCCCCAAGTCTAGCTATTTCTTCTTTTTTTGACATGAACCTTCATTGCCTCATGTCATGATGCACTTCTAACTTTTCAGGAAACGTACATGGCAAGAGGCCACCGCGAAGGTTCCCAGACTTGCGCTCGCACAGGCACGGAGCTTTGCATTGGAGGGCTCTTCGTTTTGGGATCCTGGTCTGAACGTTCCAAGGGCACTTATCCTTGCACCCGGCGAGGAAGTCGAACTGACATATAGCAGCTTCAGTAACCAATCCTTGCCCGAAAATGAAATTAGCAAACATTGTCCTAAAAGTTAGCTAGTGGGTTCTGAACCTTGCGCTCCAAAACCCGAAAGCCTAAACTCAAAATCCCCAAGTCCAAAGCCCAAAAAAAACCCAAACCGTCGCTCTCCCTCCTTAGATGAATTTAAAGTGTAGCCTTCCCCGCAGGGACTTTGCCTCGTCCTGTCGTCGGGGTGGTAGACCATAAAGCCTTGCTTGGTAATGCAAGGGGTAATTCTTAGTCAGCCTTCTATATGATGCATGCTAAGGCTTCTATATGGTTCAGGGCTACTCGTCCAGATCAGGGGTCCCTTGCCTGGAGGTCTGTTGGTATTAAACAAAACCTTTGCTAGCCCGAAAAGGTCCACGGTGGCTTACTCACGGGCCATGAAGCCGTTCACCCTTTGAGCGACGTCCTCTGCCATGGGTAGGTCCGGATACCTGCCAGGCGCTGGGACTTTGAAAGCAGGGGAGGTTTAGGGTTTCAGGGTTAAGGGCTCCTTAGGCATGCCGAACGGGGATGAAGGCAACCCACTAGACACCAAAGAGCCGCAAAACCCGGATATCAGGAAGCCCCACACTGCTATGTTGTTCAAGGCTCAAAGGCCTGCAATGCGTTTCCAAATTGTTGTCGATGGTTTGGGAGTCCCGAAATCTCAGTCTTCGAATCAACAAGCAGCCCGGAGCATAGATCTCAAGAAGGTTTGGAGGCCGACCAGAGGTGATTTTGTGGGGGAGTGCGTTTGATGCCTCCGTTCAGTGCCATCCCTCTTTGATATACAAACCGAAGACATGCCATTTGTGGCTCTTCTTCTTTTGATTACCGAGGCTCAGCCTGCACCCAAATAGGATAAAACGTAAGACGGAGCCCAGGTGCACTCCGAGTAGCACGTCTTGACAAAGGGGCCAAAAAATGCTAAATTCGGCGGTTTGCCGATTGGCCCTTCGCCCAAGAGTCTTCAGACAAGGCTCCCAGAGCTTCGTGGGAAGCCTTAGAGGAACCCTCAAGGGAAACCTTATCGGAATCTTTCTAGGCACCACCACAACTGAGAAGCTCGAAATAGAGTATCCTGTCCATGTCCATGTCCGAATCTCAAAGCCGCCAAACATGAAAACAGCACACCGAAAAGTCCGAAGCCCTAAGCAAGGTGAAATCGAAGCAAACGACAGCTTGCTCCCAATGGCCTCAAAAGGCAACATCGATGGGTGCCCTGGCCGGAGGCTCTGATCCCTCTTAGGTTGACTTTGAACTGGCAATTCACACATGTGAATCTGTATGTCTTTTTCTGCACTGTTATCAAGTATTTATGCATATGTGAATACACATCATACTGACAGCAATGCATGTGGAGCTCAGAGCTTTTCAGCTCAAAAGCCTCGCATCTACGGGCATAGTACCTATATGCCGACGCGAGAACAGCTGCAGTTTTCAAGCGAGACCGGCAAGATTCGTTTCAGAGGTTAATAGTTTCATAACTCGTCCATAACTCAGTACTGGTATCGTCGTGAGACTGCAACACGAGACAAACATATCGGTCGTTTCGGCAGCCAAGACCAAGTCAGTTCCAGAACGCAGCTGCCCAAAGCTTTTCAAAGCCACAAAACAAAGCCTTTGCGCCAGCCCCATGACGTGGTAGATAAATGAGACCCATGTTCGGCACTTGTCATTACAACAACCTACATCAATCTCAATAACACTTTGTGGAAACCGCGGAGAACCCTGGAAAGTCCCAGTCCCCACTGCCAGGAGCCCCAAGTGACGAAACCCGAAACCCCCATAGATCCCGGTATAGAACCCTTATAGATCCCTTTCAAGGAACCACCCCCCTCTCCATCAGCCCAGGCCTTACTCTTTTGCTGCAAAAAATTCACGGCCACCAATTCGGCAACATGGGCGTCCACCTGAAATCGCCCCGGGGTCGCGCTTTGGATGGAGCCAAGGCCCAAACTAAATCCCAAACCCAAAATGAACCCCAAACCCTAAACCCAAACCCGCTTCGAAGGATCCGAAGATGGCTGTCGATCTGAAACTTGCATCCTCGCAGGGGTTGAGGGCAGCCACAAACCCTCGAGTCATGTTGGAGCTGAGAGCTCCAAAAGCTCAGGCTCGTGGATATGCGGCAGGAGTTTGGTTGAGGGTTTTTTAGGGTTCTGGGGTTTATTCCCCAAGCCATCAGCACCCAAGGCGCCGAATGAGAAGTCACTGCTCAGCTTTGCGTCCCAAAGGACCGCTTTCACGTGAATTTCGAACCATCTGCTGGCGGGGACAAAGGGCCTTGCGATTAGAATATGCCTCGGAAAGCAGGGGAACCCAAGCAGATGAGACCCTAAGCCGAGGCCCTAAAACCGAACCCGACGTTCTGAACAGGAACCTAAACCCTGCCCGAACCCTGTAAAGCTTAAGCTTACTTTATTTTGCGGTTGCTCAATACGTCCTTAGTAAAGTAGGATGACCCTGAACCCGAAACCCTGAACCAGAACCGACACTGAAGGGTATCGCACATGGGGTGCCTTCAACCGAATACAGGAATCCCTTGCTGACTTGTCCTCGCCTCGTGAAGGATGTGGCGCACACCATTCCTGGGCGCTTCAAAGAGGCCCTCAAAAGAAACCACAACTGATTGAAGCTCACTACAGCTGTAACTATACTAATATGGTCTGGTGGATATACTAGACAGGAGGTCAAAGACACCTTAAGCATCCGCCCTAAATGAAAAGCTTTTGCACTCAGCGAACATGAAATGTCGTCATAGAGGAACTGAGGCCAAACACACCTGTATAGCACTTGTGGGTTATAATCGGAGTACACTATCCCCAAAAGGTTCAAGGTTGATATACTCGACAACCAAGACTTAGGGGCTAAGTATCAAAACCACACAAATGGTAGGGTTTCTATATGCCCAGAAAGCTTAAAGGTTATCCACGCAGCCTTTGTGCTGAACCCTCATAGTAACCCTTATAGAACCCTTCACAAGGAAGCCTCAAAAAGGAACGAACCGCCCTCATCATAAGCCTTACTTCTAAATCTTTACCGGGAACTCTTGGAAGGAAGCCTCACATGCACCCTAAACCCTCAGCCCCAAAACCCCTAAACGCTAAACCCCAAACCCTAAAACCCTAAAGCCTAAAGCCAAAACCCCCAAACCCTTAAACGCTAAACCCTAAACCCAAAAACCCTGAAACCCTAAACCCTATAAACCCCGCCCAATGAAAAGGAAGGGCCGAGCTTCTCCGTGATGTTGATCGGCAGCTCAGCGAGGTAAACGCTCGGAAGGGCATAGAGCCGATCATCCTTCGGGTTCATATCATGTAGGGGGCTTTATAATTAGAATGGGGTTTGGGGGTATATTCTGTTGTTATAGTTCTAATAAGGAGCCCCCAAGATACGGATCCTAGTCCTAGTCTCCGAAGAAGCTGGCGGCTACCCGCTGGCTTCAGCTGGGGGTGAACTCTTTTTCCTGCTGGAGTTGAGATCCCCTCGAGCAGACGCTGACTTCTGCAATCATACGAAGTTTCGCCACTTGTAGCTTCTTGCGCGAAGGACGGGGAAGACGCTTGAATCTCGAAACATCCAGGGTCCTTATCCTAATCGTCTTGGCCCTAAACCCTAAAGCTAAAACCCAAAGTCCTAAACGCTGAACCCTTATCCCAAAACCCTGGGTCCTAAACCCAAAGGCCGGAACCCAAGCTTCGCAGGTCCTTGTCCTCACCACCTTGGCTTGGCATGGCTACGGATTTGAGTCTGAGCTCCCCCCCCAGTTTTCCGCTTCGGCTTAGCTTGCGATTTTCAAGCGTTGCATGTGCCTGCATAGATTTGTATATACCTATAAATATATGTATGTTTCCCCTTATGTGTATGAAGTATGCGCATCAGTTTAGGCACAGGTCCGAGGAAGGCTTACAGCTCTTCGATGTTGGCAGATTTTATAATCCTACTCCCTGAGCCTTGCATTGGTCGAATCTCCGGTCCCTTTCTCAGCTCTCGAACTGGTATACCCGATCCGAAGAACCACAGCTTTTCTGGAACTTTTTACTGCTGAACCCTAAAGTCCGAAACCCGGAATCTGCAGTAACTCTAAATTTCAACTAGGGTTTGACTGCCCCTCTACGCCTGATTTCAAGGTCCATGATTTAGCAATTCTCACCTGTCTTTCTGCGTGTGAGAAGAAACCGCAGCCCTCGCCCGCGGTCCCGCATGCACTACAAGACCAGCGGCCCTGTCCTCAGATTCCCCCGAGTGCTTCATTAAACAAATGGGAGTTTCCGAAAATTAGGGGTACCTTATCTTGGGGTCCTTATAATAAGGATCCTATTATTTAGGGTACTATATTAGGGTCCCCTATTTTCGGAAACCCCCAAATCCGGTGACAATCTTGTAGGCCCTTGTGAAACCCAGTTCGAACCTCTGCTCTCCCATGCGCAGCCCTATGCTCAGCCACTCTCTTGATCACAAAGCTCTGCGAACGAGAGCAAGCAACAAATGTGCATACTTTACCTGCTACAGGTAGTGTAGAAGCCTATATAATTACAGCTATTATTCCTTAGGGTTCCTTGATTAATTCTAACTATAGTATTAGGAGCCCAAAATCCCAGTCTAATTATTAAGGCCCCTAGATTACCTCGCTTGCTTCGGGTAAGTGGGGCTTCCGAGTTCGGTCTGAATTCAAGGGAAGCTTCAGCCTAATGTAGCGGCCTGAAATAATTTTAACAGGGTTTTGGGGGTAGAGTATACTGTAATTATCATACAGAACCCCCCAAAATAGTATAGGTAATTTGTTACGGCCCCTATCTTAAGCCCCTTCGCCTCCGTCTATCCCTACCAAAACCCTCAAGCCTCATCTTCAACTCCCAATGGCCTGTCTCAGAAGAATATCGGGGCCTAAATACTTACCAACACTATTGATTGTGGGGGCTCCTTGTTATAATTCTAGTAAAATATACACCAAAGCCGTATTCTAAGCATAAGGCCCCTACATTATGGAATCCCTCGCCCCCATAGTAACCCTTATAGTATCCCTGTTCAGGAACCCTTTAAAGGAACCCTACCGTATTCTGCTTATTAAGGCCCCTATCATACCTCGGATATTGCCAAATCCCCTACAGCTAAGCGCAAAAGTCTCTTCTATCCCTCAGGACCGGACTCTCAGAATCAGGCTCCTGCGGATGGAGAAAGCTGGGATGAAGGTAACACAGCAGCCGGTTTAGGGAGTTTAGGGACTTTAGGGTTTTATATATGTTTAAGGACTTTAGGGTTCCATATCTTTAAGGACTTTAGGGTTCCATATCTTTAAGGACTTTAGGGTTCCATATCTTTAAGGACTTTAACCCAAGGCAGGCCATAACCCTCTAACAAAAACTCAACGCCGTCAAATGCGGGTCACGGTATGTACCTGTAACCCACTTCATAGCCCAAGCATACGGTACGCTACGCAGCTACAGTTAGGGGATTATGAAGGCAACATGGGCAGTTCTGATCAAGCCTGATCTAAGTAGAAAAAGCTGGCAGCCAGCACTTGCGCAAGAGGTGCCTTCTTATTGGGGGTGCCGGGGCGCTGGGGTGACTACCGGCTTTCCAATTTTCATGGAGATGGGTTTAGGGTCTAGGGTTCAGGTTTCAGCGATTTCTGAGTTTGTATTCTGTGTGCAAGGAAGTGCGTATTAAGCAAACTTGCTTGCCTCTCGGCCACCCTCACCGAACTAGCTCATGTCCTAAAGATTGTCTCACCGCTTCACACTGTCAAACTCTTCTGGAACGCTTCGGCACGGCGAAATGCCAATGCAGCAAAAGGAACGACTGACTGATGCACATAAAGTGCACGGAGAGACATCTCTTGTACCCCGAGCGTCCTGTGGTAGCGGCTGATCTTCTGAGGGATATGCACTTGACCGTTTTTTGGCATACCTGAGCTGTGGATTTAATTGCTTCGGGTTGGCTGCTTGCTTTCGAGGTTCGTAGCGTAGAACTTTTCAGCTTGAAGGGCTTCGTCGTCAGTTTTCGTATGGTTTTATTCAGGCTCAGGTTGATCTATACTGAACTTAGACCCCTAGCAAAAATTATAATTTTAGCTGCTTCTTAGGGTTTATAATAACCAAAGAGTAAAAATCATTTCCAAGCACCCCTACGTGACAGGGTTGCTGATTGCTTCGGCTTCTCTGTAGGTGCTAGTGCAAATGACGGTGATGCTACCGCCAACGTCGAAACTGATGCTAGCAATTGATGTACCGGTGACGCAGACATGCTGTCCGGGAATTCCAAGGGGTTGTCTGAGCTTGTGACTAGTACCATAAAGCCATGGATCTAGAAGCTAAGCTGAACACTAGACCCGTATCCCATCAACAAGGTCCAAAATGTAGAATTCACCGAACATGCACTGCACCACCCTATGGGGCTATGGACATTTGAGACTTCCCATGGTTGCAATGCCCAGGGCTCGCGGTTGCAGACTTTCTGGGTCGGAGGGAAACCCTTTCCTGGTCTTTAGGCTTTAGGGTCTTTAGGGGTGGGGGTTTAGAGGTTTAGGGTTTAGGGTCTTGTTCGGGAGTCAGCATTTGGATTGTTTTTTTGTCTGGTCTGCTGGCGCAACTGTTGAAGATGTGCTGTTATAAAAAGCAGCAAGGTTGATCTTGGCGATGGGCACTAGTCGGTCTCGCAACCTCAAGCCGAAACCTCAGAGAGATTTTGTACAGACCTTCATGAGCCCCATAGTATATGAGAGCCCTAGATAAGATCTGTCAAGAGGACAAGCGCTAACAAAACCGTCTAAGCGAACCCTGTAAATCCCCAATACAAGTTCTATAAATGCGCATGTAAGCCTTATAGTTGAGCCCCATGAACGCCTGATAACGCTGCGAAGTTCTTGAGTTCCGGACTGTGCTCTGGGGTGTTGTTGCTCGCCGCTGTGCTCATTCACCTGAGGCAACCGGGGAGGTTGCTTGGGGTCTGAGTCGTTGTAATGGTTTCATGAGGGTGTGAAAAGGCTCCCTGTCAAACGGGTGTCAAAGGGCTTAGTGGCATGTGGTTTTCGGGCTTGGGTTTAGGGGCTAGACTATGCCTTGTAGTGGATCTGTAAGCGTGTATGTTTAGTGCTGGTTTTTGTTTCGGATTTTTGTAAGGGTTCCTTCAGCCGAGCTTGTTCTGGCTCGGCCGTACCGGCTTCTTGGACTTTGAACCCTGCTGGACCCGACACGCTGGAATCCTAGAGCTCTAAAACCCAATCCCTGAATATACGTTTTTTGGTAAAACCCGTTTCAAATCCTTCGCACCTAGACTCTAAAACCCTGAAACCTCAACACAAGGTCCGCAAAGTGAGATGCGGACGAGCACAAGGCGATCGTGGAACATGCCCAAAGCTGCAAAAGCCTGGCGTTTTGTTTTGTGGTCTGGGGCTTTGTGCTTAGCATTCGAGGCAGAGGTCGAACATCAGGGTTTCTCTCGGGGCTTCCAAGTAAGATGTGTATTGCTAGTAGTGATAGTAGTAGTAGTAGTAGCAGCAGCAGCAGCAGCAGCAACAGCAGCAGAAGGGGCAGCAGTAGCGCAGAAGAGCTAAACGGCAAAACCTCAGAGAACTACTGCTAGCTGGCAAGGCTGACTGGGCTACTGCGGAAGCCCTTACTGTAAGTTGCTACATGTAGTATCTGCCATGCACTGTTTCTTTCCCTCTTCCAGTCCCTGTGAAACACTGTAGAATCTCAACCAGAAGCCCTAATCCCTTCCTAAACCCTAAACCCTAAACCCTTCGCCCCGAACTCCTAAGCCCGAAGCTCCCTAAACTCCTAGACACTACGACTCTGATTTCTAGCAGCCAAGAGTTTGGTGGAGCCTCCTGCTGTGTGCTATATCGCAGGATCGCGGAGCACTTGTCGTTACTCATCCTGCGGCGCAGGGTTGCTTCCTTCAAGGGGTCTATGAAGGCACTGCAGGGATTTTAGGATCTGGATTTAGGGATTTAAGGGGTTTTTTGATCTTAAGGCTTGGGGCTGGAGTTTAGGATCCAGGGGGTTTGGATGTAGATTTAGGGTTCAGTTGCTTCGAGTCTGAGGAAATATCAAAGCAGGGACGGAGTTTAGGGTGATTACGGTTGGGGGCCGTCCAGTGGGGGATCTTTCTCGTTCTCTGATGCAGAAACAGCCCTAAAGCTTGAAACCCCTCCTGGGATACAGCAGCTTCGTAACTTTGGGCTTCTGGAGGCCCAAGTGGGCGTGAAGCTTGTCCAGGTCCTGGCAGGAGCCGTGTGCAGTGTTCAGGTGTCTGGGCTTCAGAGACCTGTTGAGAGAAAGCAATGTACCCTATGGCTATTCTGGGGATAGGTACGTGGAGCAGCTTCGAAGCGTTCTGCTTCAAGCATACGGAGAGTTTTCCATGCTTCGCACGGTCGGCCAATCAGAGGAGATTCATAATGGGCTTCAGGATTGAATGTGCAAGCTTTCAGCAGAGCGCACAGCCCAAGTCCCAAGACCTTCAACAGAGGCTCCGCTGCGAGTCGCGACAACACGGTTAACAACTATGACGACAACCAAGACTACAACTACCGCTGCTGCTGCCCCTAGTGCTGCACTACTACTGCTTTGAGCTGTAACGACCAGAACACAACACTGAACCCTCGCCCAATCCGCCTGCTTGCCGAAGTCTGCTGGGACGTCTGCGACGTAGAGCGTAAACCTGGAACCGACTCGTGGTTCTAGCCGTTAGAGTCTAGTCCGGTCCCTTAATAATTAGAATAGGGTTTTGGAGCCAGTTATACTATCATTAGAATCAGGAACCCCCGAGATACCATTGGTACTTATTGAGGCCTCTACATTACTTACCATGCGCTAAGGCATCCTCCCGGAGAGGTAGCGACTCTTAGGCCCTGAGACTTTAGGTCCCAAACCCTGCACCACACCAGACAAGGAAGACCCAAAGCGCTTACATACAGCCACGTGGACTTCCCAGATCTGTTATGAAAAACAACATCAAAAACGGAAGGCACATTCTCAACAAACTATGGTGGAGTACCACACTCGAGGTGCCGGTGTTTGATCGGCTAGCTCTTAAGCGCGATTCTGCACGGGACAGGCGTTTACTAAACGGGCCTTGGTAATTGCAATACCGCACTATTGGAATACGTTCTACAACTTGTATCCAGGCGCTACATTTACCAGGGGGACATGATTACCACTCAATACGGCGTAACCGTAAACCCGATAACCCACCCCGCATATTTGTATCTCTTATGGCGAGGACTCTCCCAGAAAACTAATCTTGAAGTTTGCTCTATGAGCCTTTCCGTTCTGGTTCGGGTCGTGAGGTTTAGAAAGCAGGACGACAACTTCAGTCATCTTGCTTGCAACCCTACTTGCTAAGTCTCCCGTATCCTTGAAGTGCTCGTCTAAGACTCGGGGCCCGGCACCTTGAACTTTACTCACCGGGTGCCTCAACCTTGAACCTAAACCGTGACTCCTCATCTGAATTTCTAAGATGAAGAAACTCCCCCACCCTAGAAGGTTTAGGGTTTAGGGTTTAAGCCCTCAGGCGCTGACTCCATAGCCCCCGATACCCAAAGCCTTCACCCTGACGAACCTGTGAACAGCCTTACAGTATCCCCAGGTTCCTGAGTGACACCGTAGTAATAAGGGAACCCTTTTTCCTGTCATTCAGTTTTAGTAAGGGAGCCATAGAACAAAAAGTGCAACAGGGTTACTACTCAGGAACCTAGAAATCCTAAAGTAGCCTCTCGAATCCTTCCTTCGGCTGACGGCCGGTTGAGAAGCATCATCTTCAGGAACAGCATGTTCTACCCTCAGCCCCACACTGACTCATCAGCAAACCATCCCAGCCCAACTAGAAAACCCGAGAAGTCCCTAAACTCTCGGTCAAATGGGTGCTTTTCGAGGCCCCCTGACAAAATTCATAATCCGCATCCCATCTTCCGGCTACAGATTTCTACAGCTAACAACTCTGCTGAGGCGCAGCCTCTCAACCCAAAGCCCTAAACCCTAAACCCTAAACCCCTAAACCCTAAACCCTAACCCTCCACCCTAAGCCCGAAAACCCTAACCCTCCAGGCAAAAGGCGGATCGTGTTGGGCCATCGGCTGCGGCACAGGCGCGGTCTGTCCGCCAGGGAAGGAAGGGACGAAGCTTTCGGGGCTTTTAGGGTTTAGGGTTAGGGTTTAGGGTTAGGGTTTAGGGTTTAGGAAGCTTTCGGGGCTTTTCGGATCTCGGGTGATACCTGAACTATTAAAGGAGCCTTTGAAAGAAGAAGTTCATAGGTTTCTAGGTGTACTTCGGACCCATTGGGTTTCCTGGATTGTTGTTGAGGGTCTTGGGCCCTTTCATTGTTTGCGGTTTTGATGGCTGAGGCTGGCAGCAGCCCACATCCGTGTATCTGTGTGCCTGTATGGGCAAAATGCATGCATCCTAGGTGGGCAACCACACGAGCATGGATACATTCATCTCTCATCGGCATGGACTTAAACACACGTGCACACTCCCTGGCCTAAATGCACAGACTTTGCAGATAGGCATAGGTACGCAGATTGACCAAACTACCAACCATGTCACCTTCACCCGAACTGGCCCAGCATCGGAACTTGAAGTGATTCAGAATCATGAGCCCAGTAAGGATAGATAATAGAAGGGCTTTCATAACTGGCCAATAGGCGCTATAAGGGGGGATACCATTACTACCTATCCCAAGCTCTACAATTCATACAGTGGTGTTAATAATTAGAACAGGGTTTTGGGGCTCATTATACTAGATTTATAGCAAGTAACAGCCAAAATATTGTTGGTAATTATTTAGGCCCCCTACAATTAGGTAGGAAGCGCCGGCCAGCACCGCCTGATCCTCTTGCCTCACGTGCGCCTTATTCCGGCCTCAGCGACATTTGGCTGCTTGATGTTGTTTAGGGTTTAGGGTTTAGGGTTTTGATCCTTTTTCATTTGCCTTGTTTTGGTCACAACATGGAGCTGCTGCTCAAACTTATGGACATCTATACAACCAAGATATAACAAAAACCAGTCCCACACAAACCTGCGCAACACCATCCTAAAGGACTGCACAACCATATAATCCTTCACGAAAGCCTCCCACAATGCTCGCACTTCCAGCAAATCCCCTCTACAGAACCCTACAAAATCCTCGAATATAGGGGCCGACATAGCTAGACAGGCAGGAGTAGTCTGCAGGGTGCATGGTAGAGAGCGTATATACCCACTATATGGGAACGCAACCACAACTACGACACGACGACGACGACGACGACTACTACTACTACCACTACTACTACTACTACTACTACTACTACTACTACTACTACTACTGTGCATTGGCCCAATTTTGGGGTCCGCAGAGCGACTCTGAAACCGGAACTCGAACACGGGAAGCAAATCTGGTCACAAG